CCGCTAGGCTCCCCTTGGCCCCCCTTGGCCTAGGACTTTTCTTAGTACCATGTCGGAATGCTATTTCATCGCTAGCTCGAGAGTGGAAAGTCCGAGTGATGTGAGGGACTCATGGTGCGTCGTAGTCAGGAACAAGGTATCGTTACATGCCTCAGTCGAGGATACAGGGGGGTGTCGTGGCGCGCGCCTCAAAGTGCATCGTTCGACTAATGATTTGGGGGAAGGTAGGGAGCAAACGGGTGGAGCACGCCAGGGTGGGGGTTCGATTCGCGCGAAAGGCCTGGGAGCGCTCTCGACTTGTGCGAGGAATCGGAGAGGGATCAAGCGTTTTTTGTAAATTTAGATCGGACGCACGTGCGTACATGGAGTACGCCGCTGCCTGTTGGATCGGATCTGCTGCTGCCGGGAGGGGGGGGGAGGGGGGCGCTGGCTGGCTCACATTTCGCTCTCCACCTGTCCAAATCGTCTATCCTCCAACGAAAACATGTCCATGGAGCGCGAAATCCTTTTTCTGGCAGAGTCGCCAAGCCAAGAAGCAGTTCTGACCGCCTTGTACCGCTTCGCACCTCTGTGCTGTCTGCCCAATTCTTCGCGTTCCTTTTTCCACTCGCGCAACTTGTCCATCAAGCCTTCTTTGCACTCCTCTTCCTCCTCCTCCTCCTCATCCTCCTCTTGATGCTCTTTAGCAACGCTGCTTCGTGGAGATTTGAGCGCTTGCGGCTCTTCCGTGAGCTCATCACCGTACTGTACGCCCTGACGACGCTTCCCTCGCGACGCCGAGATAGTACGCCTTTCCTCCGCCGAGTCCGAATCCGAATCCGACGACGCATCCTCCTCCTCTCTCGCGTGCCCCTCTTCATCCTCCGAATCCATTCTCTCCACAAAGTCTCCATCAGCAGATCGTAACCCAGCAGCTACGGCAGCTCTCCAAGCTTCCAGCACGCAAGCGCTCTCTGGATTCTTGTCGAACCTCGCATGCACTCTACCAACGCCAGACTTGAAACGAAGTCTCACGCATAGCGTTCCAATCCTTCTAGCTCCCAACGCTTCTCCTTCAGCTTGGTCCCTGTAGTTGGAATAATTTTGCATCAACCGATGAAGATCTCCTCCATCGCCGCTTGCCCTCCCAGCGTCAGCTCCTACCCAGATGGGCAGCTGAAGATCCTCGAATTCATCATCGATCACATCTTGCAGCCAAATGATGGAGACGGCCAGCAAACGTCGCAAGCGGCTCCTGAATTCAAAGACTAGCGGCGCTGCATACCTTCGTCGAGCAGGTACTCGCAGCGGAAGTTCCGACTTGGCCAGCCTCCACTCAAGGCCGCTCGATGTGCCCTGCTGATGTGATGGCATTTCTCCGTCGTCACCATCGAGCAGTACCGAATGCTTGCGTCCGCTAATCTTGATGCTAGCGACGAGCGTCCTGATGCGCAAGTTGGCGCGATGTAGATGCTGAGCGTGGTCCGCGTCTTCAAAGTTCCCAAGCTTGATGGAAGAGTGTAATTGGCAAGTGCCGATATCAAAACCGAGCTTCTCCTTGTGCACCGTGTCCAGACCTTTGACGGGTCGGAAAAGGAGGGATAGCCTGACCATACCTCTTCCAACTCCTCCGCCGATCGAGAACCATTGCGTGACTTGAGAGCTTCCGGACTCTTTGAACAGCTCGCAGAGCTTGATCGGCACGACTCCAAGGATCGGATCCTTTTCTCTATTCCGCTTGTCCCTGAGCTCGACCATGATGAGGCATCGTCTCCAATCCCTCACCCAGCGCTCCGTTCCAGCCTGGAAGAAAGGGTTCGCAGAGAGCAACTTTGTTCTGCTCCTAAAGACGACCTGATCGTTCAGAATGATGCTGAAATAAGCGCTAGGGGAGGTCGCATCCTCTTGCTCGTTCACCCAGTCTTCTGCTTTTTGAGCAGGTTCAAGAGCCGTGCGATGTCCAAGTTGTAGCTGCGCTTTCGCGCGCGTGTCCACCAGCTCGAGGCCAGAGGCTTGATGAACTTGTATAGAGAGGATACCCGCGGGCAGATTGGGATCCGGTGGCTGGAAGCGCACACCTTCTTCGCCCCTCTTGGGCTCGGTGCCTTCTGGGCTGGACAGCTCAGTAGGTTGAGAGTCGCGCTCCTCATTGGCCTGTGCGACATCTTCGATTTGACCTGGTGCGCTCTGCGAGCGCCTCGTCTCTTTGCCCTGTATTTTGTTGCTCTCCTCTGCCTGACTCTCGCGCTTCTCGACTGCTTCGTCTCCCGGTCCGCGTCTCACGCGATTGTCTGCCTTTTTGAAGAATCCAACAGACCACTCGACGGTGCCCTGTTTGGACATTTGATGCGTGAGGCCCATCAGCGTGTCCTTCCTTCTGAACATTTTGCCGGGATTCTCGACGAGTTGCTTCGCATCCACTTCGACCCTTCCCAAAAGATCATCCGCAGTGAGCCTATCAGAGTCCCACAGGTTGATCTGAATCTTTTCCTTGGCGCGGAGGATTTCGGAATGCAAAAGGAACACGCACCGCTCTTCCCAGACCGGGGAGAGGTCGTCCAAAGCTACGCGCGTACAGTAGATGACTTTCTGCAGCCTGGACCAGCAGATGGTGCAGTAAGGATCCGAAGAACCATTTCTGTCCTGCTTTTCCAAATCGAAAGCTCGATGAAAATAGACGACGATGACGCCTAGCGCGTCCACTTCCCTCTTGATCTGATCGCCCGCCAGCATCTCTCCGACGTCCATCGTCATTGAGCTGGGAGCTACGTATTCGCCGACCGCAGCATCGATGGAGCTCTGTATGAAACCGCTGAGGACAGGAACGTTGGACAGATTGAAGCTCAGAGGGCTGACATCCACGGAGCACCTCGGCAATCCTTTGAAGCAGAAGGTCACATTGCCCACGAAAGGTGGGTCGGGCAGGAGTTGAACGCGAACCCTGACTGTTGCCACGAAGCCGACGATCTCGACGTAGACTGGCAGCGGCAATTGCAGCCACTTTTTCGCTCCGATGAAAAAGTGGATGAGAAGGTGCGCATTCTTGTTTCGAGATGCGAGAGAGTTGGGATGCGAGGGCAAAGCTCTGTAGATCAGAGACATTTCCAGATTGACGTAGGAGCCGATTGGAGACTCTTCGGGTCTTGCAGTGGGTGCACCTGCGCTTCTTTGCTCCTCCTCCTCCACCACCTGTCCCGCGCCACTACCAGTCTTTTCGTTGATCAAGCTGTCGGACTCTGCATCCTTCAAGATCCTCACGGCAGTGATTCGAATCGGATTGTCTCCTTGCGCGCATTCTTCCACCTTGACCCCATGAATGAAGCCGGGCACCGATGCGGCCATGATGTCTTCTAGGGTGCCGCCCATGCTGGCAAACATGGCAGGGTCTGCGGTGCTCCAGAAACCTCTGACGAGGGCATTGAGCCACTCGACCGATTCCAGCGCTCCATCTTTGAGAGCGTGTGCGAGCGTCTGAGCGATTGGAAGGGCAGCCTGCTGGTGTGAGGCGCGCTCAGCCTCCTTGGTGTGCCCAAGCGCCCTCTGCCGCTCACGGGCCCAGCGCACATGTTCCGCTTCCCGCACCGATTGCTTGAAAGTGTACCATCCTAGCCAAGCATTGCTGGCCAGGATGAGCAGCAATAAGAGGGTGGACGTAGTGATCGATCGTTGATCTTTGCCAACGAACGACACTGCCAGAAGAACAGAAGACCACGCGGCCCACAGAGCAATGATGTCGCGAGGGAGATGAATTTCTGGACCGGGCGGGAAGGGCTTGGAGAGGATGCTCCTCCTCATCCTCCTCTCCGCTCTCGCCTTTCTCAGCTCCGCTCTCCTCTGCCTCGCCTCGGTGGAAGTGCCGGTCCATCTTTTCTGCTCCGCCAGACCATTCTGAGCCTGATGATCCGCCTCTTCATCCATATTCAGATCTTCCCTTCCCAGATTCAGATCACTCCCACCAACCGCATCGGCCCCACCGCTCTTGCTCGCATCAGCTTGCCTTGCAGCCTCGCTCTCGGCCAACTCTAGCGCATCTTCCCGCTTGATCTTGCGCGCAAACTCGACGCGACCCACATCTCGAATGTTGATTTCTCTTTGCGTGACGGGATCAATCACAGCGCGCGCACCCTTGGCTCGGCGTCGAGGCTGCGCCGGCGCCTTGTGCTCTTCCAAAGTCCGACTCGGTCCAGTCGAAGCCTTGGAAGTGGCCTGCTCAGACTCGCCGCCCTGTTTGGATCTGCGACGAAAGAAGGGCAAGGATGATAATCTCGCCGTACCGTTGGTGCTGAGCAATCGACGCGATGATCCGCTTGCATCCTTCGAGCCGTTCGCACCGGTAGACTGCGTTGCCGACTGCGCCCGTCTGCCACGTTGCCCCTCTGCGACGCTCTCATCGTCTTCATCCTCCTCACGCTCCTCCTCTTCGCTGCCACTCGTGTCCAGTTCGGTCTGACCCAAATCAGTCTCTTCAGCTTGCAAGCCTTCTTTGCTCTCTCCTTCGGGCGCTGCTGCCTCTGCCCTCTCTCCCTTAGCACCCGAGAGGACCTCGGACCATGCCGAGTCAAAGTAGCGCTGTATGGTTGGTATAGGGTTGGTGGCGCTGTAGTAGTCGGACGCGTGATGCTGCGTTCCAGCGGAAGGAGGCGCTCTAGCCGCGGACATTTCCTCACCGTGGGCGCGGGTGGTAGTGGCCAAGGGGAGTAGTGAGGGAATGAGAATGCTACGATTTGTGCCGCTGTCAAGTCGAGCAATGAGTGTGAGAGGTCAGTATGCGCTTGCGATTTGATCGAAGCCGAACGCCGAGCTTTGCGCTCACCTAACTTGTCCTTTGCAGGCTTGCTCACGATGGTGTGTTGTGTTGGTAGTCACATGGGTGGTGTTGGAAGAGAGTAGGGTAGACTGACGAGCGGGTGGGTGTGTGGAGAAGTAGGCAGGCGGTGCAGATGCAAAGTTGGGCGTCTGTGCTTGATGACAGCAATCAGGAATGCATACCGGTACCTACACTCGTGACTGCATCAGCGTGCACTCTGACTCGTGACCTGCACTCCGTCACCCCATCCCACACTCGCGCATCGATTCGAACACGTTTGACCATGACAACCACTTCTGCACATCTGCCCCACGCCCCGAGCTCCATCAAGAACCAATTTTGGCCGGCATTCACGATTCACCATCGTGATTGTTGCGCTCCGGTAGGCGTTGCTTGTCTGCGCGTCATACCCGTCTGGCGGCATGTCCACCCGGTACGCTGCTGCATGCGTCAAAAGCCACCTCCACATCGACGACGTGCGAAATGCGCTGATGCTGCATGCATGGGCTTCCAAGGGCTATACCGGTACTATACTCTTGGGGTCTTGGCATATGCTTCACTCACACTTGGGCCGAAGAAGAGAAGCTTCAAATGGCATGGGCGACAATGACACCCGCGCAGTTCGCATCCATCTTGCTTCTCAAGAAGCAGAGGGGCAAGCAGCCAGGCTTCACAGGACCCCACAAGTATCACCCTTCTCTCCTTGGGATGACCCAGGTGAAGCTCGAGCAGCCAGCTAAGCCATCATCGGAGGGTGCTCGCAGTCAGACCCGCCGCCAAGCAATCCGAGTGTTTGCGCATGCAAGCAAAAGACGTGCAGCAATGCTTGAATGCGTAGAAGCGGCGTCGAAGGAAACAAAAACGAATACAGTGTAGTGCAGTACGTGCACGACGCAGCAGCGAAAGAACGGGATGCATGTATGAAGGATGTGTGGAGATCTTTGCACCTTCGGCTCTGAAGGACTTGCAGCTCTCAAAGCGCAGCGGGGGGCGAAAAGTTACAGATCACTTCACTTGCCAGGATGATTGACGACGGTCGAGTTGATGTTGGTAGAGTCGGCTCCGGAAGTGCCCAGTTGCGAAAAGTCGCAGTTGAAGCTGGTCTTGAACAGGGGAGCGATGACCTGTTCGACGAGTTCCGCTACAGCATGGACGATCTCCCCTTCCAGTTGTCCAGTGCCGACGTCTTGAATCGTAGTGAGAAGGAAGCAAGCAGCGCTGGGAACTTCGGTGGGCAAGTCGACCTTGAAAGGCGAGAAGTTGCCTACCCCTTGATTTTGTCCCGGAGGAGTGAAGGTGGAAGTGTCTGCGACGTAGTCCACGACGTCGCCGGCAAGGTTGAGCAGAGAGTAGGGAGTGCCACGCTTGATCCAGTCGGTGGGGAAAGTCTCGTTGAGGAAGAAAGGTGCAACGTTGCGGTAGTTGGCGATCCCCTTGTCGGACTGATTCTCACCGAAGGATGGCAAAGCCTGTTGAATGAAGGCTCTCTCAGCAATGGAGACCGCAATGTACTTGACACCTGCGTAGAATTCGGGGTTGTTGGCTCTGGCAAAGTCGTACGTTTGCTTGCGCTCCTTCTTCCACATGGTGTTGTCAAATTTGCCGCCGTTTTCGTTGGCCATCTTGACGATGTTGTTCCACCTGTCAACTTGGAAGTTGTGATTGTTGCCAAAGTAAGTATCGGCTCTCGTCATGGAGCCATCTATCTCGAAGACTCCGTGTTGCTATATGGGAGGGCACCGTAAACGCGAGAGCATCAGCAGAGGCTTCCCTGACGGGCCAGTCCGCCGACCGCCGACTCACCTGAATGCCGCCTGGGGTGAAGAAGACAAGGGGGCAGGACGTAGGTATCAGAAAAAAGTTCCATCCCACTAGACCGCTGACCGTTAACTCACCAGCTTTACCCAGCGTGTTGGGCACGCGGCTATCAGGGCCACCGATCGACATCTTTCCTGACAAGATGTCACCACCAGCCAAGAGACCGAGAGCTGATAGGAACGTGCAAAGGTCGTAGCTGAAGCCAAAAGCCTGCTGGCAGCCGTTTGAAGCCTCGGCAAAGGTCGTGACTATAATCGGTGCCGGGAGATGAAATGGATCAGCATCGTGCGAGGAGGGCGTCAGACCGGCACATGGTCTCTTGGCCAACTCACTTCCATTTCTGGTGACGCAAGACGGGAACAAGAGAGGTGCTTGGGTGAGCACGTGAGTGAGTGCGGATTCGACGTCGGAGCACTCACCTAGCAATGTAACCGTGGTTCGCCATCGTGCTAAAGGCGTATAGCGTGATCGGTCAGTACGACAGCTGCGTGGATCAAAGAGCATGCGCAATTTTCTCACTTCAAAGTGGGGCATAAGCCGCGAATGTCGGTGGGGCCGGGGGCCTTGTAAGGGTGAGCGGCGTCGGGGACGAGCACTGCGCCCTGCTTCTGAGCAGCAGGCAAGCCAAGTGCAGATAGCACACCGGTCAGAGGTTCGAGGAGACCGTCGAGACCAAGCAGACGCTTTGGGAACTGAGTCCCCTCGGCCGCTCGCCGCTCCACGCGTTCTCGAATGATTTGTCCGACTGTGAAATCTTTGGGGGAGCGGGAGGCGTACTCCGGAAAGGCGAGGATGCTTTGAGCACCCGTGAGCGCGACGGCGAGGAGAGAAAAAGAGGTGGTGAGCTTCATGATGGAGAGAGATTGGTTGCAAGGATATGAGGGGAATGGGGAGATCGTTCGGGATGGGAGAGTGAGCGATAGAAGGACGTTGAGTGGATAAGGACCAGAGAAGGAGTGCTAGAGGAACATGGTCCTCCGTATTTGTACCTTTCGTCCCGACCATTGATCATACGCGTGACGCTGCGCGTGCTTGTGTCGTGTCTGACCGTATTCAGGTCGAAGTGCTCTTGCGCGAGTGCATAATCAATGCATACCATTGAGAGCATCATCAGCAACTGCTCTCGGCGGATCCATCCAGGTGGACGTGAATTGAGTCCTAGCTCTCGAGAGGGAGACATGGACGTGATTTTTGTGCTTCCGTGATTGGCTCAGCTCCTGCGACTGCGTCCTGATACGGCAAGGAGTCGATGTTGGCACCAATCAAAGCTCAAACGTTGGAGCTCTTTGGAGGCATGGAGCACTCGCTAGCGCTATATGGGTCGGCTACAGAGCTTTCGAGACATTGACCGCGTGTTTCGTTTTCATGCTTTCTCTTTGCTCCAAAGCGCCAGGACGCATGGCGCTTGTGAGAGACGTCCACTCTTCTCGTTCGCCCGTGTTCGTTGAACCGGATCTCGACTCACCCAAGTTCAGGAGGTATTTCGAACTGTACAGACTTTGCGCCAAGCCGCTCTGGTGTAGTCGGCTCTGTCGGCCACTAGAGCATCACCGAGATCAAGAGAAAGAGCCGTGCAGCTCTTCAATGCGTCAGATAGCAAAGGCCTACCCAGCAGGCCTGTGCTCAGATTGGACCAGATCTGCAAGCCTGGCAGTATCTCTCATCTTTGCAGCATTTCCAGTTGGAGACGCTCTTGCCCTTGGATAGATGGTCTTCGAGGTCGAGCCGAGGAAGCTACTTACTGAGCTCCATACTCGCTTACTGGCTTCCAATTCAGCGTCGGCATATCCGAGAACAGTAAGCCTCGCACAGCTTGCTCTGCACCAGTGCATACATGCCGGCTGGCTCAAAGCGCCGTCTTCTCGAGGATCTGCGTCCGACAGCGGGCGAGCACAGCCGAAATGCGCCGTGCAGCCTGTTCTGTTGCCATTTGAGACTGTTTGTCATTCGATAGGGAGTGCTGGAACTCTTGAGCGCGCCTTTTGCGTACCAATGTCATCAAGTCTTTGAATGTATCCAGGGTCCAGTTGGAGCGACCTAGCGGATCCGCTATCATTGCCTGATTCTCGACATGTGTGTACCAATGCTCAGCGGCCAATCAGCGCCCGACCATTTGTTATCAACGCCTGGCTGCCCGTGGTGCTCCAAGTCCGCCCTGCCGTGGCCTTGAGCGTTCTCCTCTCTTTGAGTATCGCAGCTGCCTCTTTGCTTGGCTTCGCTGGTAGATACGGTAAGGGTGGTGGAGGGGTCTGCAACTTTGATAAGGTCCTGTCAGCGTCGCGTGCATGCAGGCGCCGCCCAGTGCTTCTCCTCGTCAACTTAATTCCCGCGGCCCACAAGTTTCTTGCCTACGCGCTGTAGCTGCTTAGGCCACGACACGATAAGGCGGTGCATTATGCATGCAGCACGGCGCCCTCTGACTGTAGCACAATCAGTGAATCAAGAATTCACGCGCCTATGTTCCCCACACACCAACTACCGCGGTGCATCGGGTCGTAACAATGTGAATCTGTCTACGGGCCACCAATATTTCAACCACACCCTAAGCGTGTTGGAGCAGCGACCAGCACGGCTCGAAGCGGCCCGATTGCAGTCAAGAGTGTTTGCAGTCACAACAGCGCTGCGCTCCACTAGTCTGAGTCCCTCGCTGCAGAGGTCACGCGGCAGCAGGGGCAGACAAGTCCGGCGCTAGTTCTGGACTTCCACTATCCCACATGCTCAACGACAAAAGAGTCTCTTCTGAAACACATTTCGTAGCAATCCACCTTAGCTCTAACAGCGCATCAGCCGGCGGCATGGCTCGGCCAAGCGCGCGCCGACGCCCGTGTACCGTACCCGCAAACGCGCATCGTCCTTGTGTTGTGGTGTGTTAGCGGAATTGATACTCACACGTCTGAGAGCACGTCGTACGGCAGCTTGAGCGCGCAAGGCGATCTGGCGCTCCGAGGTGGAACCAAGGTCACAGTAAGGCTGCCTCGCGTCTTATCGCATGGGCCACGCGTCTGAGATCCGAGCTCTACCACGCGCACTTTGATGGAGCAATAATGTTGCATTTCGAGACAAGGGATGGACCGTTTGTGTGTGCAAAGATGCATCGGAGAGCTAAAGAGCGAGGGCGAAAAGTGGCCAGGGGCAAGTTGCGCTACGTCTGACTCGCATGCCGAAGAGGCAAGAGGGCCACCTCCGCCGCCGCTCCTTTAAGCGCGCTGCATCAAGACCACTTCCAGATTCGAAGGTCATCCTGCCATCAGTAAGCGTCAGGAGCATCGATAGCGTACCGACGGAACGTGTAGCCCAGGCTGAAAAAGCGCGTCGCAAAGAAGAGTTGTTGCCAGGTCAGCGGCGACGCATACAGGCGACAAGCTATTCCTAACATATGCTGAAACCCCAACTCACAAGGCAAGGTCTCTCGTAGCACCAGGCCCGACATCTGCGCCGGCCGGTACGTCTGGCACGTCTTGATAACTGTGCGATATGGGACAAAATTTGCGGAACAGAAGGTCAGTCTGTCGTATGCCTAAGCCACCATCGAAGCACGGAACCCCAACGCACTCTTCGGTGGGGAAGTAGCTAGTGTCGGTGACGCTCTTGAGCTGCGGTACGAATGGCGCATCGATCGCTCTGATCGAGTCCCAATCCACTCCCGCAAAGAAGGGGTGCTCCTTGATCTCTGTCGCTCCATTTCTTCCCAGCCTATTCTCGGGCGCGCAGATGAACCTCTTGATCAGATCCTCCGCTTCCGGACTCAGATGAATATCATCCGGGAATTGCAACGTTTCCCTCCACGCCAAAATCTTGCGGTACGTGTCGTGCGCATTTTCGGAGCAGAATGGCGGATAGCCGCACAAGCACTCGAACATGATCGCACCCAATGACCACCAATCGCACTCGTTGCCGTAGCCTTGCTGCAGGAAGATTTCGGGCGCGATGTAGTCTGGTGTGCCCACGGTGGAGTAGGCCTGTCGAACGACGTTTCAGTTTTGGGCACAAGCTTCATATTCGCTTGCGCGCGCATCTACTCACCAGCTTTCGCCTGTTCGCTTTCCAGGTCGCAATGGCGTCTTTGGAGCTGAGGGTGAGAGTGATTGGATTGACCGCCACACTGTTGCGACCAGTCTGTTGCGGGTTGCTGTTGTTACCATCAAACAGTCGCTGATAGTAAGCAGAATCGTGCTGCTTGTGAAAGCCAGTAGACAGACCAAAGTCTGAAAGCTTGATGTGGCCCTTGGAATCGATGAGGATATTGTCCGGTTTGATGTCTCTGTGGATGAAGCCCAATTTGTGGATGCCTTCCAGGGCTAGCACGCATTCGGCCATGTAGAAGCGAGTCACATCGTGGGAGAAAGTGTCGTACTTGATGAGCATTGTCATGAGGTCGCCTCCCGGCAAGAATTCCATGAGCAGGTAGAGGTACTGAGAGTCTTGGAAGCTGTAGTACAGCTGCACAACCCAGGGAGAGTTCGACTCTGCAAGAACGTCTCTCTCCGCCCGTACATGTGCAAGCTGCGAGGAAGTCGAGTGAAGCACTTCAGCTGAAATGCACAGTCGTCCCTTTTGCGTCCATACTCACCTGGTCCTTCTTGAACATTTCGCTCTTCTTCAAAGTCTTCATAGCGTAGATTCTGCCCGTGTCGACTTTTTGCACGAGTCGCACTTCTCCAAATGCGCCCTTGCCGATCACCTTGACAGTCCTGAAGTCGTCCAAGCCCAGCCGCGTTCTGCGCAACCGCAAGAACCCTGACTCTCTTCTGCCTAGCGCCGTCAACTGCCTGTTCTTGCGCTCATCGGACGTGCCAGTCTCTGATGCGAGGCGCTTCTCTAATTCAACCCGTCTGCATGCGGAAGGAGCACAATGTCAACGTTTGTAACTTCGACACTCTACACCACGCTGCGCTCACCTCTGACTCCTCTCAATGGCCTGCTCTACAGCGACCTTGTAGAAGTGCTCCAACTTCAACTTGGCGCCTGTGGCCGCGTCCAGCGTCGTCTTTGCCATGCCCTGCGTCGCTCTCTCAAAGTAGACGTAATCGTCTCCTTTATCACCCGCAGTGGACGTCGGAGCCGACGTCTTTGGAGAGGAAGCACTTGTCGTTGTGGGCGTAGACATGACGCCTTGCATCGCTTGCGGCCCAGTGCTATTTGCAGCCTGAGCTTGAGGAGGCTGAGGAGATGGGGATCGGCCGGGCGATCTGGGGGCGTACGCAGCAGCAGCCGGAGCTCTAGTGGGAGAGCCGCTGGGACTGCGGGGGTATTGCTGCGCCTGAGGCGCCAAGCCTTGCTGCTGTGCGTACGCGTGCTGTTGTTGGAGCTGGTAGTGCATCTGAGCTTGCTGAGCAGCCAGTAATTGTGCTTGGTGCAAGGCTGCTGCCTGCGACATGGCAGGATGTTGCAGCTGTGAAGGAGGTGCTTGAGCTTGATGCGCTAGTGCCGCATTTGCAATTTGGGCGGACAGGGGTGATCCGTATTGCTGCGCGTAAGCTGCGATCATGCGGAGCATGAAGATTGCTCTCGCCACGTTAGTCTGGAATGTCAAGGGACAGACACTTCGCTGTGCCACACGACTCTTACCCTGATTTGCGGCAAAGCCGCCTTGGCCGGCAGGAGCATAGCCATAGCCCTGGGTAGGAATGGTTCCTTGTCCGTACATGGGTCTGCCAGTTCCAGCACCGGCCTGCTGCTGCTGCTGCTGCTGCTGCTGCTGTTGATATTGCTGTTGCTGAAAGTGCTGCTGTTGAGCATTCGGACTCGCGCCAAATTGAGCAGAGTACGCCATGGTCTGAGGCTGGCTGACTTGAGGCAATGCGGAACCTCCCGCTCCTGGTCCTGGCGATGAGCCTCTCATACCTCCTGGAGGTCCTTGTGGTCTATATGCCATCCTGAGCTGGTCTCAGAAGTGAGTCGATCTTGTGACGCGTCTTGGGCGCTTGATGCTCGCACAAAGCACAGTTGCACCTCACTTGCAATTTGGTGCTGCGCCACAGATGATCTGGCGAGAGTCACAGTGCGGCACCGATGAGGTGCGAAATTGAGAGGCGCAAGGTGTTGATGATGCTGACCTGAGCTCCGTCCCGCCAGTCTCATGCGGAGGAGTGCGACGATTGCCCGCAAACAGAAGCGACTTGCGCTGGAATGTGCTCAAGCCCTAGACCCTAATCGTGATTGGGATGGGTTGTGAGACTATTAAGTAATGGCTGATAGACTCGTCACCAGTAGTGGATCGTGTGCAGGCGGTCGGTTTGCGGAAGAAGCTTTGGTTTGCGGAAGTGTCAAGAAACACGAAGCTTGAATGTACGGATCTATATGTGAGCGCGGCCAACGCTGTTAAAGTGGGAACGCCGCGCTAGCCGGACCTCCCGCGTTTGTGTTGCCTGACGCTTGCGCGTGTTAGCTTGTCGCTGCTGCCGCGTCAATCGTGAATTGAACTCGTCTGCCTGGAGCCTGGCACTCTGCTGCTGCTGCTGCTGCTGCCGCCGCTGCTGCTGCTGCTTGGGCGCGAAACGTCGACTGGTGAGGTCTCAGATGGCGCTAGTGCGTACAACAGCCTGCACTCAAGATTGGCTACCGAGTTTCGGGGGGTCTGAGCGCGTGATGTACTGCGTGACTCTTGACTAGTCACTCAAAACTCAGTCATCGCGCGTGAGTGTTAGAGTCAAAGTGCGCGCCATACACGCCTGCGTCGCGCTTGCAGGCCCATGCACTGCCTTCTCAAGACGCCACGGTCTGTGCTGTCAAGTCGCGCGGTTGTGTGCCACGTGGCGGGGGCCCGTGAGACTCGTAACGCACGTGATCCTTGCCACACGCCTAGCCCTTCCGCACCCACTCGACATGCAAGAGAAGCTTATTCCTTCTCAATCAACACGCAAGAATGGCCCGACCGCATGATGCCAGTCGGACTCCACCTTTAGACATCTCCTGATGAGAGGCGAAAGAGATGGTAGCTTCCGAGGCTCATCAGGACACGCCTCTCTCTATGAGTGTAGACATGTGTGCCTCGGGACCGGATCACAAGCTTAGGTATGCGTCGAGATGGCTGTGACGAGAACCGAATGTATGTAGCGCTGTCGAGCGCGAAGAGCGATGCTTGCCCCTCGGTGCTACGCAGCTACAGTAGCCCCCTTCCCGATCCGCCTCGGCAAAATATGGCCGAGTCTCTCATGCGGGACAGACTTGTACATGGCGCTGATGTTCTTCCTCAGCTTCCCGAGTCCTTCTTTTGCTTCCGCTGCGATCAGCCTTCGAACGAGCATACAGTGCAAGACTTAGTCCGCACTCGTGCACTTTCCAAGCTGCTGCAGATGTCCTCCTCGACCAAGCCGAGCTTTCTCCACAATTCATGCGGGAGCTGAAGGCCGGCTCCGCGACCGAGTCCAGTCGAGCCTCTTCGATGGCTGATCCGGCAGAGGAGCGATGCAGCGTGCTGTGCTGTATGCCCGCAATTTGTATGCGCAACACCCCTGATCCCACCTCTCTCCGAGAAGAGTCACAGTCCGGAGCTTGAGTGGCTTTTCCGCTCGGCAGGAAGCTTGGAATCTTCTGTCGTCGTGTACAGAGCTTCCAGCGATTTGTACAATATGCACATGGCTCGCATCCCTACACCTTATCCACCATCACGTCCCTCAGGAAGCCACTAGCAGTTCAAACAAAACGCCCTCTCTGGAATCACACACAATGTCTACCATTCCTCAGGACCCTCAATTCACAAAGGCGGTAGAGATTGCCAAGTGAGCGCTGCATGACTCGAGGCGGTGATAGCGGATGCGAATCCGCTGACGCTGGCTAATCCTCCTGACAGCGACCCCAAGCGCGGTCTGAGCATCGGTCTCGGCATCTCCGAGAAGCTTGCTTACTGGGGTCTGTAAGTGTCCTTGCGAATAGTCACGAGCTGGCGCCTTGCATCCTTCAGAGCGCACCTGCTCACTCCACACTCTCGTTCCTCCCGGCTCCACTCAGTTCTGAGCAAGGACTCAAGGGAGACGTCACTGGCGACCGTCCAGGTATCTTGCACGTCGAGGCTCGTCTCAAGTACGATGCGTGGGCCAAGAATCAGTGAGTCGGCCGGTCTCGTGTGAACAGGGATCTGCGGGATTACTAGCGGAACATGCCCTGCCGATGCCGGATACGATGCCGCCACGGGTCCCATTGGCACTCATACGTACTCTCATCTCTTCTCGCAGGGGTCTGGACCCTCAAGAGGCTCAGAAGCAGTACATTGAGAAGTTCATTGCTGTGAGTGCACGCATCAATTGCTGGTCTTGTCACTTGGAAGCGCTCACGCGTCCTTGTCCACTTCGCTTGCGTTTTGCGTACCCACGAACAGGACCTCGAAAAGCACTCTGCCAGTGAGTCTGGGTTATGATTGAATCGCTCTATGCTCGGTGCTGACGTGCAGTGCTTCCCTTCTCATTCTCACACTTTAGAGAAGCCCCAGTGCAACGAGTGGAAGGCGGAAGTCCTGGCTGCCAAGGCTTAGCCTCTGAGCCTGATCCATCTCGTCCGCGCTGGACCCAGCTCTACAGATTCTCGTTACTTGCAATGCGATCGCCGTCACCTTCGTCTCAGGCTGCACAAATAGAGCTGGTCTCGAGAATAAGCTCAAGAAGAATGCGGCCAGCCTGCAGGCAGGCAGTGGTCAGCGTTGAAGCTTCTCGCTGCTAGGCGTGGGTGAGTATGATGGGTATCGAACGAATGATAGGTATTGAATATGTATGGGATGGGTGGATGCCCTCTTTCTCCAATACGATTTAAGCAGAGACTCGAAGAGTCCGCGGTGACCTGGCCGCGTCTTTTTCTTCATGCGAGCAGCTCTCCATTCGGGACTAGACTCACCCTGCTGATGGCATACTGATGTCTTGATGTTCGATTGACCGAGACTTGTGACTCTGATTTACAACTCTTCAGGGGGTCTCGTAGTGATTGTCACGCGGGGCTAGATACGTCATACTTTCGCCCGGCCCATCAGATGCTGCTTTTCAAGGCTTGATGAATCAGTGAAGTCAATGTAAATGCCACTCTTTGTGGAGACTGGGTACGACGAATTATGCCGAGATGTTCATGTGCGAGCAGCATGCCGAGTCGACCAGAAGGAGACGTGTGCGACGAGGCTTGCGCGCCCTTGTCATCAGGAACGAACCGAAGCGGTAAACATATTCTCATATATAGGCGCGGTGCAGGGCGTTGTCATACAATCTGAATCACGAATTGTGGGTGGTAGTTCAGCAACAACGTGCGGCACTTCATCAGTCACGAGGAACTGTCTGCATGCGAAGTACACGTAGCCAAGAATCTGAGTGTTGTGCACGCCCTAGACACAGACAGATGTTCCACACATGTAGCCTTGTCCGTTGCGAAACAGTCTGCGAATTCTACACAGGGTTGCACAATCGCCCAAGCCCGACAAATGGAGAAGGGTGAGTACAAACACGAATAGGTGTCCCCTCGCGGCTGTCTGACTTCGTCGAAGTGAGGACAGGGCAAAGCGGCAAAGCGCCTGGGTTGAAGTCTCGGCGATGCGCTCCCACAGTCGTGGTAGAATGGCTGCGTGACCGCAGATTGAGAATGATCCAGCAGCATCGAATCGACCCGACCTATTCATAGCTGCATGGCCCCGCTCACAGACGGAGAGGACGCACAGCATGTACATCATGCGCGTGCGCGACTCCCCCAAGTCCGCGCTACATCATATGCTGTATGCGATAGGCGAGTCCGGCTGCGCCCGCTTGGGCGTGCGTCGCACCCTCGCCGCCGCACAAATGCCATCTTGAGGCTACAGTACACGTACCGCACAGCTGCGTGCCCAGCATGCACAGCAGGTCTTTGTTCGTTTTGCTCCTTCGCACGCGCGGCTGATGTGAAAGTAGAATCTAGCTGCGCGGGGAACGCGCGCGCGTCCGTCGGCGCGCGCGCTGGTGATGTGTGTTTGCATGGGCTTGAGGCAGGTGCTGCGATGTAAGCCCCAAAAGCCCCAGTCGACTGTGTTGTGACGCAGGCACACACCTGAGTTCACTTAAATGGAGGTAAAACTTCTAAGGTCATAACTTGACGTTTTTGTATGCTCCAGCTGGCTCTAATCAAGATTTCAAAAATGAGCCGAACCGCTTGTGCAACCAGACTCAACTCCACCTCATCTCATGCTGTGTCTTGCGTCGACCGCAGGCTGGCGGTATAGCTAGAGAAGATCAGCAGCGCGTCGCCTACATCTCACCAATCCGAACTCCCTTCTACCTTTACCATTCTTTCTTACTCTACGGAAGTTGAAGTCTGCCCACCGGTCGCTACCGCGCACGCCTCGTTCACTGACTCTGGTCCTCAGCTACATCTGGCAGTCAAGAGTCAGAAGCCGATATGGGGACACAGCGGTCTTCCACCTCTCGCGCAGCATCAAGCTCAACGCCGACGGTGCAGTCCGCCTCAATGTCAGCAACCCTGTCCGGAGTGAGAGCGTCCCTTGATGCTACCCCCACAACACCCAAGCGGCCGCCAAATGCAACTTCACCTCCCAGGCCCGCCGCTTCGTCTCGGAGCTTGCGCACCTACACCCTTAGTCCCTCTGCTCCGGCCATTGGCACGCCAGAATACAAGAAGAGTACAGCCGCTACATCCTCTACGGTGAAGATGGACCATCCGTCATCCTCTGAAGCGTCTGCACCGCCTCGTGCCGCTGATGACAGCGACTTTCTGGACAGCGATGGCGAGGTGGATGTGGATGCGGATGGAGAGGAAGTGGAGAGTGTATGCGAGCTAGCAGAAAGCCAACCAGGTGGGATCAGCAATACACAAGCAACCTCATCCAGTTTTGCTTCTCTCGACGAGGGTCGGTCGAGTCAGTCGGCCATGCCCGAGCATCCCCTGATAGCAATGACACCGATACTCAGCTTCACCTGGTTCGACAAGGATCGCATGCCCACTCCTAGGGAGTGCCAGGCGGACAATGGTCGCAATTGTGTCGCGATGCCCGAAGACCGCAAGGCTGAACGGGAACAGAAAAAGTTTCAGTGGCTCTCCATCGACGTCGACTTGGGATACCTCAGCTTCTACAAGGACTGGGGACCGCTCAATATGGCCATGTTTTATCGCTTTTGTTTGCACGTAGCTTGCATGCACTTGGTGAGTTTCGCTGGCTATATGCTGGCGTGGAGCAGACTGGGCAGTCCAGAGAGCTAAGGCAGTTGACCACGCGCCGCGCAGGATCCGGATGAAGATCATCTCGTGCTGTACACCTCTTCAGATCCACACAACAAGGCAAACGCGGCGTTGCTTGCTGCCATGTATGCGATGGTCATCGAGAGGCTTTCCCCTTGCGATGCCTTCCATCCATTAGCTGAGGTGGGTGGCATTGCCTGACTTGGTCCTTCTCGGCAGCCTGAGCTAACGCACTTAGCTCTGCAGCTTGAGTTTGAGCCGTTCAGAGACGCTGGCTATGGACGAGCCGATTTCTGCCTCACAATTCAAGACGTGCTGTACGGATTCCACAAAGCACGAGAGTGCGACGTCTTGCAGCTCGAGAATTTCAATCTGGACGAGTATGAGTGGTACGAAAGGGTAGAGAATGGTGATTGGAACTGGATCACGCCCAACATCATCGCTTTTGCGTCGCCGAACGACAAGGGGTGGGAATCCGGCTTGAAGTTGCCGCCTGCTGAGCGCGAGAAGAGAACCAACGCTGCTTTCACCCGCTCCATCAAGTACTTCAAGCAGCATTCCGTGGGTGCAGTCGTCAGACTCAACAACCCTCTGTACGATCGCGAGGCGTACGAGCGCGTTGGAATCGAACACTACGTGAGTGCGGCAAGGCCAGACTAGTCCTCGTGTAGGGCTCATGTCATTCGCCATTCGAATGCAGGACATGTACTTCGACGATGGCTCCAATCCTTCCGACCAGATTCTACGGGCTTTCATCAAGTTGGCCGATGAGACTGTGAATAAAGGCAAAGTGATCGCAGTGCACTGCAAAGCCGGACTCGGCCGGACGGGTGTATTGATTGGCGCCTACCTCATCTGGAAACATGGCTTCACCGCTCAAGAAGTCATTGGATTCATGCGCATCATGAGGCCCGGATGTGTAGTTGGACCCCAGCAGCGCTTCATGTACGAGAACTTTGTCGAGTGGATTCGATGGAGTACGCGCGATATCGCACTCAAGGAAGCGAGGGAAGCTATCGAAGCAGAGAAAGAGGCACTGAAGAAGCAAGGCTTCGTGGAAGGGAGGAAAAGTCGCAAACGTGGTGCGGAAGACGAAGCGGACGATACATCAACGTCTACCGAGGAGCGAGAAGAGCGTGCTGTGGATGGACTTGTCACGCCCCGTGCCAAGAGGACACTTGCGGAGGTACCAAGCAGTGTAGCACCAGCGATCAAGCCCACACCTTGCGTGGGACAACCTCGAAAGAGCCCCAAGTCGACCAGGAAGCGTCAGGCTACTGCGCTCCGGCACGTGCCTTCCATCGGCGCGCTGACGCATGACACGCGCACAAAGAGCTTGCCGGACCCTGCGGAGGCTGAGGCTGCAAAAAGCACCGCTGCTCCTGTGACGGGCTTCATGCCCAGGTCTGTGAGCGACGAGAGCCTCAAAGCGCTTGCTGAGAATATCAGCAACCATTCTGGCAAGGCACCGCCTACGCCCGGCCCCTCTGTACGCCTGGAAGCTGCTGGCACAGGCATGCGCGGAGGCACGCCTCCTTTGGCACCTTCTACACCCGGCAGAGTGTTGGGCGAAGCTCACCGCATCAACATGCAGGCCGGGCACGGTGGAGTAGTGCCGATGGGACTGTCTACGCCACCTAACCCGTCCGGCAGCTTTACAAAGATCAAAGCTGCGACAGTCGGTCGTCCCGTCAGGACACACCATGAGCGAAGCCAGAGCACGATTGCAGCTCCCACCTTCATGGTCGATGATGTATTTACGGATGCACCGCCTTCTGCGCACGCTTTTGCGCCTCCGTCTCCATCAGCTGGTGGTGCGCGGACAGCAAGCGCTCGGATACCGACTTTCCGCGCAAGTCCTCAGATCAAGACAAAGTATGGTCTGCGCGATACGAGCAAAGACCATGCGTCGGGGTCGAGCATAGAAGCGGAAGATGGTGCGAGGTCAAAGACGTCATCAGCGGATGGCGCGGGGAACGGCATTGTGGATAGAGTTGGCAGCAGTCAGACGTCGGAGACGAGCGCCAGCAGTCGTGCGTCTGCGCAAAGATCCGCATCCGGTAGCTCCGCACGAAGGCAAAAGATGTCTGGGGCGACTCGCATACCGAGCGGCTCAAGCAGGACGCGGACAAACGGCACGGCGCAATTATCTGTCAGCGCGAAGCGCGCAGCGCCGTCGTCGTCTTCGCAGCAGCAGCAGCAGCAGCAGCATGAGACGTGCAACGTGACTGGGACAAATGGACCTCGATCGGGCGTTGCGCGCGTCGCTGCGGCTACCAAGAGACTCTACGGACCGACCGTCGCATCGCTGGCAAGATCTCGAGGTGCTGAAGCTCCTGATTCGTCCTCATCCTCTCGCGCATCCTCGGCTGCCTCTTTGACTGCAAGTCCTCAGCTCTCTGCATCCAGCAGGTCCGCGAGCCGAACGCCTAGCGCGGTCAATGGAGCTGTAAGACTCGGACGAGTGCGACCGCGAAGAAGCAGCTTCAGCGATGCGGACCTGCAAGTTTGAAGCGAAGCGATTGCCACCTTGGCCCCCCTTGCTTTTCTTCGACAGAAACCGCATCGCGTCTTGTTCCCCCCCCCCCCCCCCCC